TCGCGAGGGATTTCCGCGTTTTTGTCACCGTGCTTTTCCATACTTTAGCTCCACGATTAATCAACGAATCGCGAGCGATTGTAATACGATAGTTATTATACAGAAAGACGTTCTCCCAAAATTTTCGATTAAAAATGTTGTTTATAAAATATTATGCAAGGATTGTAACGCGTCTTATGTTGGTCAAACCGGCAGGAAATTGGCTACTAGAATATCGGAACATCGGAAATAATTTAGATAATAGATAATTTAACTCGTGATATTATTGCGGTAATTTCGTAGAGTGGCATTTCAAGTGGTGAAAAATTGTTCGGCGCGCGGTTTAAAAGACTACGTACGTAATATATAAATTCGATTATAATTAGCACCTAATATCCAGCTTGATCGTTAAAGGCATTTTCTCATTGGTTGTGTTTCTCACTGTACGATCCTATAAGATTTAATATTTATGTAAATATTGTTTATGAAGAAATCATCAAAACTGTTGTAACTTAGGGTGAATTTTAAAAGCTGTGAAACACAAAAATAACAAAAATGATATTTGATCATGCTAAAAACGGATTCTTTTTACCAATGTCAATTTCCTTTTGTTAAGTTAAGAAATAGTTTTTCTCCTTTTGTAGGACATTTAATTTTTTGAGTTTTGTTACTTTTAAGAGAACATTATAAATTAATGCTACAATATATCTTTTGTAATTCATTTATCACATTAAATGTGATTCTATTTCAATTCTTCACCTGCGTAGAATTCGAAGTCGAAGAAGTAAAATGAAAATCATTCATAGCGACTCGGAAATTACTCGTAAATTGTCCTGATAAATTCAAGTTTGTACCGATAGGTTGGATGGATGGACGGACGGAAGTTAAGTTCTGGCCAACTTTTTGCCTTCGCCTTTCCGCAATCTTTACGATGTCCCGCGGACGAAATCTTTGCCACCTCGTCGCGGCTACGAAAATTGGATTTACTCGAGGATCGATAAACACAGTCTCATAAATCCGTCCATTATCGTTCCATGAAGTTCTGTATACGAACCGCAAGATCTGTTATGCACGCAGACTGTGCACGTCTTTTGCGAGTCGCTATATGCGGTGTCCGATATAATCATTGATCTTAACTTTAATAACATTTTCTTTAGTTAATCCATATATTTCTCGATCTTAAAAAATTAAATATTTTTAACTACTTTTCATTTAAATTCTATTTCTTACTTCATTTCAAGAAAACATTAATAAAATGTTTTTTATTCACAAATCAATTACAAAGATAGGTAAATATATAGAAAAGGGGAGCCACCCCCGATGATCTTGACCTTGACATATGTTGTCAAGGTCATGACCCTGAGTAACTTCCCGCAGATTGTAGGTGGCGGTCGCTGTCCGTTAAATAGTTATTAACAAAAAAAGTTTCGAAATTAACGTATCAATTCTCGGAAATTATACATATTAACGTATCATTTCTGCCATATATGTATTATAACAAGTACTATTTTACATCTCTTTCTGTTTAGAAACGTTAAATTTTCCACGCGAAGTAACTCTCACCTCCTCCAACCCCCTGCGAAGGGGCACACGACTTCTACAATTGTACTGTTGCTATGATAGTACTGTCGGGGCAGACCTCTGTCGACGGTGTGGGTGCGGGGGGGGTGGCCAAAGGCCACCCCCTTGCACCCGCCCGTGTGTGTGTGTGTATGTGTTCCATTCGTTATATAACGATTATGAGTCTATTACTTGATATTTTACACACACACACATACGGACGGGTGCAAGGGGGTGGCCTTTGGCCACCCCTCCGCACCCACACCGTCGACAGAGGTCTGCCCCGACAGTACAAAGGTGTAGAATTTCGTGTAAAAATAAATAAAAATAAGTCGAAACGACCACCACTGAATGGGTTGGATTAGGTTATTTTTAACAGTAGTGGAGCCCCCCGTAGAAAGGGACGGAACCCACTGCATCTACACGTATCACTTTCTTTTCATCGAAATAATCAATAAGATTTCGAAAATTCTGTGTTAGATGAATACATTCGTGAATTAATGGTAGAAGTGTATGCACATGAGATCACAGAGCATGAAGAAGGTATGTTCATAGCGTTACACGTATAGTTCGTATTTATTATTATATATTTTATTATTATTGAACATTATAAATAATTCATTGATCGTGATATGGTGAATAAAAACGAGCCATTATGTCAAAAAATACATCAATACGTTCTTGCAAAGAATAATAACGTTTAAAGTGACACTGTATAATAGAAATAAATCGTAATTTTTCAAACTTTTTTTGATCATAACTTTTTAACGGACAGCGACCGCCACCTAAAACCTGCGGGAGGTTACTCAGAGTCATGACCTTGACAACATATGTCAAGGTCAAGATCATCGGGGGTGGCTCCCCTTTTCTATATATTTACCCAAAGATATATTATGTTGGAAATTAAAACATTATGACAAATAATTTTGATATTTTTTGTCGAGACAATGTAAAGATTAACGAAACTGTTATTTAAATCAAAGATGATACTTGCAAACACCCTCTATTTCTTTCGTCAGGAAGAAGGCATCATGTACTCAGGATGTAAATTGCTTGAGAAAAGGCTGGAAGGATAGGAACTCGAGACGGAATTAGCGTAGCATCTTAAGATGCTGAGAAGATTCTCGACACCGTCTATATGCTTCTTTCGCTTTATGTCGACGGCATGAAAAGTCGTTTTCAGCTCTAATCCTTTGTAGTTCTATATTTAATACAGTATAAAGAATACTATCGACATTTCGCATAAAAATGTCAAATTCGGTGATTACTTGATGTGAAACGTTCGTTGTTCATTCTAAATTTAGCAACCAAACACCATTTATTCTATATAACATACATACTTGTTACATTTAATCTAATTTTTATTTCCAACATTTTAATTGTATTTCTTCTATATACTCACAATCAGAAAAAAACATACTGATAGCAAGTATAAAAGTGATAGCTACTAAATTTTGTATCTAAGATATTTTTGTATATATATAAATTACGCACCGTTAACAGCGTTTGACTCCTTGTAGCCGTTAAGATTATTCTTATCCATTAATTTTTTGTATTTTATAAAAAACAATATAAGTGGTTCAAAAAATATAATTTTAATTTTGTACTTCCGTGTTATTGTGGAGTGTATATCTATCATCCAATTTGGAATACACCGAGTTATCAATCTGTAACCGCTTTTATTTGAAGTATGTATAAATCGTTAATCTTATTGTTTAAACCTTATAATAATAAAATCAATTAAGACTCCTTACAATTCAAATATAAATCAGAGAGAATAAAGGGCAATAGTAGAGTCGGGAGCAGAAGATATCGCGCAATTAAAAATATCACTAATAAGCGACAAAAATAATTTATTATTTCTGATATTTTCAATTTTTCTGTTTTTCTTCTTTTTCTTTTTCATCTATTTAGTTTTGTCTGTTATTTATACTGTATCTTAATTATCACGACATGGAGGAGCTCATTCGTTGATTGAAAAATTGTATTGATTAGTTATATTAATTAGTTTGTTCTCTGAAGAGGGCTAAAAAGTTATCCGAAACATGTAAGAGCGTTATTATTATAATAAGAGCGTTATTCGAATAAATTATATATTTATATAAAAAATATACACTAATAACTTGTGTCGGCTCACATTAGCATTTTATTATATTGCTTTTGAATTTGAATTCATATGAGCTTATTGATTATCTTGTTTCTTTTATTTTAAATTATTTTATATCCTTTTCTCTCAGTATGAAATTATTGCAATTTATATTAATGCATTTAAAATTGCTTTGATATAATTTTCTTTAGGATTCTATTATTATCATAATGTGTGTGATTTTAATCATCAAATAAGTATTACGAACAAAACAACGGCATATTTCCAGACAGAATACAAAATTATAACAAGATCAAGACGTTAAGTTGAAGTCATTTTAGAAAAAATTCATAATGTCATTCGATGATAATTTTGAATTTTTGATGATAATTTTCATGTCAAAAATTCAACACACAAAATCATTGTCAAAAGTATATCAAATAACATTATTTTTATTAAAATGTTTTCAACACTTGATATTATTTTAATCTTATTATAATTTCGTGTTCTATCTAAATTTATAATTAGCAAAATTCTTTATTATACTATTCTCTAGCATCATGTTAAATGAAAATACGTTATAGAGGATAAAGGTTAATAGCCTAAAAGTTTGGAAGTTACGATAATAAGATAGTATACGGTGTAAAATTAACCAAGTAAATTGCAAATAGTAACTCAAAAAGTAATTACATTGAAGTGGTAAAAATACGAAATAAAAAACAAATGTAATTGCAGTATAATCCAAATAAGAGAAATATTTTCAACTAATCATTTCTCTTCATTCTATACCTTTTCAATTCAAATAATGCCGCGTCATTGTATTTGTAATTCATTGAGAGTATTTAGAGTTGAATTGGCACTATTGTGATGTCATTCAATTTCACCGACTGTCGGTCAACTGTTCATGTCTTTTCACAGTCCGTTCAATAAAAAGTTATTTGAACGTGTTGTAATATTATAATATAAATCGTATTATTTAAACATATTTATGCTTTGATGAGAATTCACAGAATTTCGTGTAAAAGCCATGAAATATCGTCAATATCACAGTAAATCTTAGATCCGTTTTATTTGCAAAATAAAAGAGAATAGATTCTAGGATTTTCTCACTAAACCCACGTGAAGAAAGAATAGCAAATATTTGCTGTTAAAACGATAATACAAAGAATATATTTCGCTGGTAGCAGAGCTTTAAAATTCGCTGAAAAATCTTACCAGGAAGTCGTCAAAGTGACGATGCGCGAACGTCTTTATAACGGAAGCGGAGGCTGAGGGGACGCTGTGCCGGTCGGCGAGGATGGCTGACGGGGGATGTACAGAGAAAATCTCGGCGGAAATCCTTCTCGTCTAAGCCGAGACCAACTCTAGAATCCAGAATTCTCAATTCCGCGGCGGAGTGTGCTGAAAGAAGCATGAGTCGAACGTTAATTTGATGTCTGCGCTCTTGCCGACGCATCGGCCCTTTTTCCACCCTCGCTCCTTTTCCTTTTTTCGTCTCCCTTGTTTCCTCCTTTCTTCTTTATACACCATCCCCTCCCCTCCTCTCTTTCTCTCTCTCATTCTCCGACTTTCTCCATAACAGTCGCGACGTGGACCAAGTGCATTAAAATAAATTAATTTTCATGAGATTTTCCCGTAGCGAATGGCCGTTACGGGGCTTAAAATAATAATTCAACGAGCCGCGTGGACGGAATTTGCATTTTGACGGCGCGGCACGCTTCTACGCGATGCCAGCAAGAGCTAACTCGCTCGGCGAAAGGATGAAACCAGTGGCGGATAACTCGGTCTAGGATCTTACAATATAAAAGAGCCTCATATACTATATTGTTCATTTACAACAATAATGACGTAACTTAAGAAACAAAAGTTTCCAAAATAAGTTTGAATATTTTGAATTATTAAAATTTTAAAATATTAAATTTAAAATACAATTTTGAAGTAATAATTGTGATTATAGAAAGATAAAAATATATTCTTTCAAAGTAGATATTCTTATTTTCTTTAAGTTTTCGGTTTTTCTTTTGCAAGCAATTGAAAAATAACAATTTTTTATTTTTATTGTTGTAGCAAATGAATAATATAAGTTAATTCATCAAAACATAGATTATATTAATATTACAGAAACAGATATATTTTGATTCTTCTTTTTTATCGTAAACCTTTTAAATTCTAAATTTCTCGAGAATAAAATTTCAGACATTTTAATTTTTTACATATTTGCCTATTTTAATAATTGTTTTAACAATTGTTGTTTTTAAAGAAAAAAAAATTTCGAATTTATTTGAAACTATAAAATTCGTTCTTTTGTCTCGTATAAATTTAATTTGCTATCTTCGTTTTTCTGCGCAATGACACAAAATACATCAAGGCCTTAGGAAGCTTTCATCCGCCACTGACTGTGTAGACACGGGAAAGAGAAGACGGAAACAGAAAGGCGAGAAGATCGTGGTTCGAGAAATTGGGAAGAGAAGAAGAGAGATAGAGGAAGAGATGCAACGAGATTCTGGCAAACGCATTTGTTTTCGCTACGCGGTTACATCGTGACGTGACGATGGAAGTGATCCCGCGGATGTTACAGTATAACAACGGTATATATGTATATATGTATGTGCATGCAGCCGCACATATTGTTAAATGTGTGGATAGCAGTGGAATACAGGTAATACGTAGTGCAATGTTGTGTCGGGCCCTTTTCCTTGCGTAAAGATATATAACGAAAATAGATTTGTCCACAGATACGATTTGTGAAAATGTAGCCCTTTGTTGACATGAATATCAAAAGAGTTACTAAATGTAAATGATGTTAAGTAGATCAATAAAGTTGCTTTTCATTTACAATCATGAATTAATTGCCTGTGGAATATCTTATTATGTGTATAAATGATTTCTTTAAACTGCAATGTTTTGGTTGTTATATTGCAAAAATTGTTATTTTATGCATACATTAAGACATCAATAGTTTATATTTTTATTTCAACAACTAATTGAAAAACTAATATTCTTACATTAATTTGAAGAATAATCTGATATCTAAACAAAATCATCGCTATGTAAGCATTGTCCGAACAATTAATTTCGTGACTGCACAGCTTTATTTTGTTTTTGTAAAATATATAAAAAAAAACGTTGGACTGTCAAACTAGTTATGTAACTCAAACTGATTTCTAGAGTATTAAAACTTTTGCCGTGAGAATATTGTACACAATTATTTTGATGATCCAACAAAATTATATTTTTAAATCTGTGAGTGTACCTAACTAAATTTTTACACATTCAGCAAAATCGTTCTTTCTC